CTCCGAAGAAGGCGTTTAGAAAAATTTAAGAGGCGCGTCTCCTAAGAGTCTCTAATTTAAAAATTCCTTCCATCCTTTATAAATGTAATACAATTTAAATCACAAAACCAATATACACAGCCTAAGGGTGGTTACTTTTTGTATATATGTTAATTATATTTTTTTTGTGCGGGGCACCTAATTCTGAAATGGTTTATAGTGGGGAGGGTTGGGGGTTAACTTAATGAACTTTAATTATGGGCTAGATTTACATATAGGAGGAGTATTAAGCACAATTGAAGAATATAAAAATCTCAAAAAGAATTGGTTTATTCATTACCTAAATTGGGCAATAGGAATAAAATAGCCTAGAAAATATCGATACGTACTTAATATTTTCACTTCGAAACGTCATTGCTGCAAGTTCTACACTGCACTCACGGATTAGGGCTTAGGCTGAATCTAATTAGCTCCCTTGCATAATATAATATAGAAAAAAATAGAACGAATTATGCAATATCATCCAATTCTATAGAGTTATAAAAATCCAACATCCTATGCAATGTCTGTGCTGAGCCCAATCCTTCTTTCAAGCAAGTATTCCACATATTTTTGGTTATAAATAGGCTAACAAATTTAGTGGCTTTGTGGTGCAGTATAGTATGTGATATTTCAAGTCATCTCCTTGGAATATTCTCCGAGTTTCATTACCAATGTTTACGGAATCCATTTAGAATCTCGTTTAAAAACCTTTTAGAATCTACAGAATCTTTAGGCCCTCCAGATTAGGATCCTTAGACTAATTGTTCCTACAATCTACTTATAGTGGTCTTGAGATATGACCTCAATTTTATATTTACCCGTATCAGTTTTCTTAGATCTTTTCGGAAAATCTAAAAATAAACCCCATTTCTCTTTTGAAATTTCGTAATTTTTAAGAAAATTCGCTCTTACCTGCATGGAAATATTCGATGTAGCTTGTTACACCAAATATTTTTATTTCCTTGATGGGTTATATTTAAAGGATATAAAGCAATCCTCAAATTGTCACCTAAGATTAAAATCCTTTCCAGTTATTTTTAAGAAAATTCGCCCTTTCGTACATAGCAATGCAATGGTGCATCAAATATTGTGGCTCCCTTGATGAATGATGCTACAAGCAACCCACAAACTGCCATCTGAAAATAAACCCACGAACTTTGCCGGAAAAGTTCGCGCACAAACCTTAAAATGAAAAATGCAATTAGTTGAAATTTCAATCAGCATAAAAAATAAATTGTTCACAATCTTCCATTGTGGTAGTTGGCAGAGCGTTGCCGTAGTCTTGGTACGGCACCTCGAGCGCCACCAGGGGCACGTCAACCCTTGCTCCTGATCAAGGTCAGTCGGTTTCTGAGGCTACAGTTACTCAAACGGAGAACTGCAAAACTCCAGGGAATTTGCGGCCAAATGACGGCGGTCGCTGGCGAATATAAAAAAATGTGGTTCCATTCGGTTCAGTCGGAAATTGGAGTAGAGACAAACAGACCGATCGACATCATCAAGTTTTGTTTGATACGGATTTCTGGTGGTTCAAAACGTGTATTTCCACAAAAAATGTGGGGGTTCATTCTTTTTACCCCAATCCAATACCTTCCTTACGCACGTGCGGGTGGTAAAAAGATTTACGGCACATCAGAATAATAGCACAAATTAACCAACGGCTACCCCCTACGTAACGGAATGAAAATATCAAGCGGACAAAGCCAAAACGGAAAAAGATCTCCCTAAATCGTGCTGTTACCTTATATAAATTTTCCTAAATATGGAAAGGGAAAGTCGGAAATTCCAGCCGGCTGGCGGACTCGGGTCCAAAAATTAACTACTTCTTTATTTAATGTCTCGATATATTATATGTCATCATATAACACTGAAACCAATCTTAAAAGTTAATTAAGAGCGCTTCATTTGAGACTAGACGCAATCTAATGAGACGGGCAGGATAAAATTTCCAAATTCGGTAGCCCAGTAATGCACCATTGTTACATGAAATCGCAAAGGTCTACTAGAATGAAAGGCTGCCGGATGCTACGAAAATCATTTACATATTAGTACACGAAGAGTTAGAAACTTTGGGTGCTTCATTATACCCTTCTTGTTTTGAAATTTCGCAATTTTTGAAAAAAATTTTCCTACATAGCAATATTCAATTGGTGGGGGTGGAACTTTTATGGTACATCAAATATTATCCCTTCTAAGGATCTATACGCAACCTTCATTTGCCACCTAAAAATGCGTTATTACCTTTATTTGAATATTCAGTTGCTGGGGTTGTCACTTTTATTGTACCTTTGAATATAAAATTTTATATTCAAAGATTATACATAAAATACTTTCTTGATACTTCCTTAATGGATTATGTTTAAAGAACATTCGCTATTATACCTACATACACTCATTATCTTTCTTTGTTGATAAAGTATGTTGAAAGCATCTAACGCAACCCTCAAGTGGTCACCTCAAATTAAGATTCCTTGCAATTTTGAAATTACGTAATTTTTAAGAAAATTCGCCCTTTTTACATAGCGATGCGGGGGATTTTTATTGTACCACAAATGTTTTCGCTTCCTTGATAAATGATGTTTAAAACATCTACAAGCAACCCTTAACTTGTCCTGTAAAGATAAAACCCAGTCAAGTTTTTTTAATTTCGAAACTCAAAAAATTTCGTTCTTACCTACCTACATAGCAATACATTCAATTGAGAGGTTGGAAATTTGATGGTGGATCAAATATTTTCACGTCCTTTATAGATTATGTTTAAAGGATTTATAAACAACTCTTCACTTTTCACCTAAAACTAACATTTCTTCCCGTTTTGAAACTGCATAATTATGAATATGCGCTCCTGCATGTATATCAATTTTCGATTGCGGGGGTTGGAACTTTGGTGATACGTTTCACTTTCTTGATGAATAACGCTTAAAGGATCTAGGAGCAACCCTCCAAAAAACAAACGTACCAACATTTAATTATGAGGGGAATATTCAATTGCGAGGGTTGTAAATTATGGTTGAGCAAACATTTTACCTACTTCCTAGACAAATTAAGTTTAAAGTATTTGCGAGCAGCTCTTCAATTGTCATCTAAACATAAAATCCTTGTCCGTTTTGAAATTTTAGCATACTGGAGACAAGGGGTTAATCTCTCTCTTATACAATTCCTGATATTAACTTTCCAACGTTTGTTTTGTTATTGCAAAGTCAGACAATACCAAAAGTAAAAATGCTTTCAATTTGTTCTAGGTAGCGATCTTTTGTTTTTAGCGATTGAAATTGTTTGCATTACACTTTGAATACAGAGGACAGCCCCTTGCATATTCACTTAGTAAGATCCAGAATTCTGTTTTTAGCTACCTGTACTCACTAATCGTGCAGAATAAACGTACCATTTCAAAAAGATTGCAAAAAGCTAATGGCCTGTTAAAAAATTGCGCGAAGTAAAATTAGGGGTTGCCGACACAAAACCATCGGATATAATCTCAATCTAAATATGACGCATCGATTTTTAATTAGAGTTTAAATATCTGTCGTGCTTGTTGTATACGTTTGGGGTAGTTTTTTTAATAATCCGTTTGAGTGTATGCGTCCCAATATGTAAATGACACGTACAGCAGATGGGATTTTAAAAAATATTCGTCCCGAATTGCACCTGGCGACGGTATTTCGTTTAAAAAGAGGAACCTTTTATCGGCGCAGAGATCTACACTTGATCAAAAATCATCGTTTAATGTCGCCTTGTATGTCAGCGATAATTATCGTTGTTTGGTAAAGTTGTTTATTCGCTACCTTCGTTTCCTGTATTTTTGCCTCCTTTTTTTTCGTACGGGAACCGAGTAAAATCCATTAAAAGATTAAGCGAAATCAGTTTATCTCTAATTTATGTTCTCGCTTGTTATAATCCGTGACTTGCTTAGAATCCAACTAAAATCAATCACGTTGGCAATAACACTAAATCTGCATGCGAGCCGTGGCACATGAGTCACTATTAATAGGCATTCTACTTGTGGCTGCAATGAGCATGTAAGGATAAAGAACGTCTCGGTGACAATGGTGTGTAATTGGTGAACCTTCCGTCCACGTGCGAGGGCATCGCCTTCTTGACATGTCTTATAGTCAACAACTTATAGTAATCGATCAGCTGCACTATCAGGAAATGACAAATATGTACTTCCGAAAGGCGCCTCGGCATATTAATTTCATTAATTGCCAGTTTCGCGCATCATTGATCACTTTGCAAAAGATAATGAAATAATTATAGTTTCCAGCATTTGCATAATGTAGAGATCTGTGACGCGGCGCATTGGAAAAGTGCAGCATTGCTAATTCAACAGTCTGGAAGCGCTCTTTTGGTTCGACGCTGCCAGTTTTGACCGCGCAGCCTCGGCGTCGTCGCTTTCATTGGCACTCTTCGATGCGGAAGTGATATGCATGGCGAACTACGATTAGCAATTGCTATGGAAACAAGTTGATAATGCGATCAGTTTGCATGGGGGGTTAGGGTAATCTACTACAACATGCTGCCGCTTTGCCTTTTTTTTTAAATCATCGTCCCTCAGGATGCGCATTTTAAAATACGCCATCAGTCAGCACCATTTGTTTCAGCAACCATCATCAGAAACTGACACTTTTATTAATTTCCCATTTACTCAACTCACCGAAAATCCGACGTGCGGGTTTTTGTTTATATATATCAGAAGACAGTTTCGACGCGTCTGTTTTCGATTTAGGCGATCTAATATTATTTCCCCCTCTAGCGCTTTATCGTCGTGAAAACGGCGGAAAATTTAATTTCAATCTCGTCGATTCAGCAGTTAAACTGTTGCCGAAGTTTAAGCTTTGATAAGGGTTGGGATGGCGATTGCTTCGGAAATAGAATTGTCGCTATCTGAATAAAAACACAACGTTTTCCATTGAGATTACAAACTCGTTACGGCTATCTTCCGAAGGCAAGCTTTGCAATGTGTCTTTTTTTTGTTGCAGATATGGAATGGATCTCAATGGTGCGCGACGGAAAAATGCGACCAGAGAGACGACGAGCACGCTTAAAGCGTGGCTTAACGAGCATAAGAAGAACCCGTACCCGACCAAAGGCGAGAAAATTATGTTAGCAATAATCACGAAAATGACTTTGACGCAAGTGTCGACCTGGTTCGCGAACGCAAGGAGGCGATTGAAAAAGGAGAATAAAATGACGTGGGAGCCGAGGAATAGGGTGGATGATGAAGACAATAACAACGAGGATGACGACCGTAAGAGTACGGATGGAAAGGATATTCTAGGTAAGTTTCATTTTTTGCCTTGGTGTACAGCGTCCACGTTTTTTTTTGTATAAAGGTTGGCCTGAATAAGGTTGGTTAACGAAATCTGTCACAGTGTCTCATTGCCAGTATAATAACTTGTCCCTTTTCGGTACATTCCAATTGAGTTTGAGCGATTACCAAAGAATTGGTTTCCTTGTTTTTCGTGAAAACGAGGATGAAGAGAAGAAGAGAAACTTTCCCTCATTTTTTGCGTTGAGAAAAGGGTACGCAATGCATTTTGATCCAACATAACCGTTAACCATATCTACGAGAAATATCACTGGTGATGAGTGGGGTATTAGTTACCATTTTTGGTATACGAATTACGGTGTCAGTGAATAAAATGCCCTTTTTGATCATTCTAAACAGTTTTTAGTCATTTTCTGACATACACACTGAAAACATTGTTTGATTTTTACAAATACATATGATGTTAACTATCATCTTCGAGAAAATTAATAATGGTACTGTTGTCTCTTGCGTAGAACGTTCAAAAAGTGCCTAGACACCTTTTCTGGATTTTTAAAGAAGCAAGAAAACTCACGTTTAGTTTTTATTCAAACATATTATGGTTACGCCTGCGGTTTCCTAGAAAAAAAACATTCATTAATATAAATCCATTGATCCATCTCTTATTTGGAATGTTATAATTTTAGAAATAACGAGTTGGGAATTACAAATACACTCATTATATTACTATAACTATTGGCAAGGCAAAATTTTATTAGTCCATGAAAGAGAACATAAAATTTTGCGTCGATTTCTTTTTAATAATGTCAATCACGTTGGGGGGAATTTTCAAAGAATTTTTCCCACCAAATAATCAATTATTAAATTACCGATATATTATTACTTATTTATTAAAATATGAATGAAATACGGGGGGATCAAATCAAAATCCCAAGTTTTCTTTTCAAGATGATGGTGGTGGCTCTCGGTACATTACTCATATTTCTTTCTTTATTGTTCATTCTGGCCTACCAGGCGTCTTTGGCATTGCTTGCACCCTCCAGACCTTCAAATTTTTTTTAAATTCAAAGATCTTAAATCCACATTGGAAACATCATCCATCATTATCCGATTCCGGCTTAGATTCTCCATAATTTGGTGGAATATTTTCAATCAAAAATAATGTAGAGGGTAAGTTTTTTCATTTTCACTATGGTGATCTCGTAAACCGCAAGGGATACAAATTTGCTTAAATGAGCAGTCATGCAGAATTTTATGCTGATTAATTTTCACATTCAAACTTTCTTGTAGCTCTACAAATAGGAAAGATATGACCAAAAGCCGAAAAAAGAAGAAAGTAGGTCATATTTCACTGTTCTTCTCCCACCACCTGTAAAAATCTTGGACGCTTCTCCGGTTCTACATTTTTCTCCAAAACGTATAGTGCCCATAGTACTTCCACTATAATTTTAGGAAAGAGGCCATGAAACGTAATACCAGGAGTCCGTGGTGTATGGAAGTTTGGTCAAGAAAGCAAGAATCATTGTCCTTTTTATAGAAAACTATTTACGAGAGTCCTTAGGCTGAACCTTTTTAATGATACCGTACACCGGGGGGAGAAAGAATGATTCAGTGTTCCTTTCTCTACATTTATCAAAATCTTCGGACGCTTGCCCGGAGTGTATTTCATACCCTCTCAGACAGACCCTCCGGTTCTACATTTTTCCCCGAAACGCATAGTGCCCATATCACTTACACTTAAAAAAGAGACCATGAATCGTAACACCAGGAGTCCTTGGGGTATGGGATTTTCGGAAAGAAGACAAGGTTCATTGTCCTTTATAGAAAACGATTACGGGAGTCCTTAAGCTAAACGTTTTCTATGATAACGTAACACTGGGGAGTCTGGAGGATATAGAATAACCCCCCCCCCAGGAGGAAAGGAATATTCAATGTTTTTCTCCTTGCACCTCTAAAAATCTTCGGACGCTTGGCCTAAACCCCCCCGGTTCTACATTTTTCCCCATACCCCATGCCCGTACAACTTACACTATAATTTTGAGAAAGGAACCACCCAACGTAGCACTAGGAGTGTGTAGTATATAATCTTCGTCAGGAAGGCCGGATTCGATGTCCCTTATAGAAAATATTACGAGAGTCCTTAGGATGAACGTTTTCAATTATAACGAAAGGAATAATTCAATCTTCTACCTACAAGCCACCATCTGTAAAAAAACTGGACGCTTGGCCGGGGGGTATTCCAAACGTATAGTGTCCATTTTTTTAAAAAAGGAACTAGTCGCCTGTGGAAGTTCAAGTTAAATATGATTTCCCTTGTAAACAAAAATTCCAGAAGTGGCTAGACAACAACTCATTTTTGATCGCATAGTATTATGAGATTCCGGGGGGTCAATGATAACGTAACACGAGTCCTTAGGCTGAACATCTTCAATGTAACACCGATCGGTCAAGAAGAAAGGAATAATTCAATGTTCTTCTACTTACACCGGCAAAAATCTTCGGCCGCTTGGCTGGGGGTTATTCCAAACCCCCCGGTTCTACATTTTCCCAAAACGTATAGTGCCCATAGAACTTTCACTATAATTTTTGGAAAGGAACCGCCGGGGAGTCTGTAGTATGGAATCCCCCTCCATAGTTATTTGACTGTGAAACTTTCTAATTTAACGTTTAGCTTAAAATTAATGTTGCTATCTATTCCTGTGTTAAAATTATAATAAAAAATTACCACCCCCGAAAGCGCCCTTTGGCATAATATAGATTTTAATCCTTAGGCTATTCCCTACCTACTGTCAAACTTTCAAGTTAATCGATTTATTTTGAAAAAATTGCCGGGGTAAAACCTTCATTTCCTAGACTACATTGTCTTTTATAGAAAACTATTGTGAACGTTTTCAATGATAATGTAACATCGGAGGGTGAGTGAGGGATACTTATTTTTTTTGTGCTTCTATCTACACTTGCAAAAATCTTCAGATATGCTTGGCTGGGGGTATTCCAGACCCCCCCGGTTCTACATGTTTCCCAAAACGTATAGTGCCCATACTATGGAATACCCCCGGGGAAAAAATAGTGTTCTTCTCCATACACGTGTACAAATCTTCGAACACTTAATGGCCCCCCAAACCCACCCGATTCTACATTCTTCTCCAAAACGTATAAAGCTTATTATACCACATGCACTATGTATTTTGGAAAGGAACCGTACAACGTAACATGAATGATTCAATGTTCTTTTATAACTTAAAATTAAAAAATGTATCTTTATAGCGTCCCACTTTGTGAACGCACCCTGTATGATTCAAAATATTTTTAAAATGTGGTGAATATTCAACCACATCATAATACAAAAACACGCAGCCGTTCACCCACCCTGTACATTGTGTGCGCTGTTTCAGAAAATGTACACAAAAATATCAACGTAGATTACTTAAACCATTGCCCAATTTATTGTACCAATTCACTCCACAACCACTTTTTCTTCCTTTGCGAATATTTTAGTATTGCAAATATTGCAGTAGAAACGTCAACATTTTGAAATAGACGCTAAAGTTCTATACCGCTTTGATGTGGTCCATTTAAAATAATTTCCCTGTATACTATTTTTTCACCATGCATATAAATCGGGCGTTGAAGTTAAATCTGTCACCTTTTACACAGTAGTGATATAATTTGGTGCCAAGGAACCAAAATTGTTGTGTATACGATCGCATTATGTGAATGTTGTCAAAGTCTCATCTTTTGAAGCTAATTCTGGTGATAAATAATTCTATTTTTTCATAGGGATCAAGAAACAACATTAATAAAGGATCTTTAATACAATAATATACTTATTGTTCCTGAAATATATTAAATTCAGTGAATTATTGCGTTGTGTATAGCTAATCTCTATACGAGTTCGAGTTAGGAGTTAACAGCAAATCCCTACTAATTTTCTAGTCTCTGTTTACACATAAAAGTATATCAGAAATTTTAAAGCAAACGTTTGCGTTTCTTCTTCATTTTTTCCTTGGATAATCATAGCACATAGAAGAATAGTGATATTTTGACCAATATTTAACAAAAATTGCAACAAAAACGAAGAAACTGCATCCAAATTTTAATAAAGTGTTATGTTTTGGTGTTTTTGTTACTTCAATCGCCACCAAGAATCCAGTGGGATACCTAGACCTAGACGTTTTTAACACGAATTCGCCCTTAATCTCTGAAAACTTCAAAAACAAATTCCAACGCCTAGAAAAGTAAATATTCTCACTTTTTTCTGTACCATCTACATATTTAACAACAAAATTGCACAACAAAAACAATAAAGTTTCGAAATTTGCGATTTTTCTTTAATTACTTTCTCGGGTTTATGCCGGATTTGTTCAAAATTCCTAACCTAAGAGGGCACACCCTTAACCGAGGGTGTGGATAAAATTCCGTTCTCGCCGAATTTTGATATCGGGGTAAAATCGTTAGATTTTTTAATTATTTCGACGCTAAATACACAAGAAAACAACCCTTCTGTAGGTCATGCAGAGCAGAATTACCAACAAATTTTAATTTTCTACTACGAAAATTGCAACCCTTGCACGCACTAAATGATAACCAGGGGGAGAATTGACTTTTTTCTTAAAAATTGAGTAATTTAATGCAATGAAAAGTTAAAGATTAAAAAAATATGACCTCTTCTGTAGGCCACACAGACCATAAATTCGTGCAAATTTATATGATCTACGGCCTTACGCTAAATGAAGGTTAAGTTACCTACTGTTTTATGCGAGGGTTCGAGAGTTGCTTTGAGACACTGTGATATGCTCTACAGAATATACAAAAAAATTGCAAATATTAAACCCTGGATATTGTATATTCACTAACGCTTGTCCTTTCATGCGTTCAGTTGTTATCTTTACATTATACTCACTATGAGAAAAATAACCTTATTTTCAAATGGGTTTTTAAAGACTTGTTTCTTTGATCTTTATTGCATATATAATTTTCCAAAAATAAAATCTTAACTGGAACTATTTGAAAATATGGGAAAACAATCATATCCAATGTGAACAAAAAAATCTCTTGATTTATGGCGTCTAATTTGCATATAGATATGTATAACATAAATAATAACTAGGTATTTAGAGTTTGACAGATTTCTTTAACCTTGTTTAGTGTTTTTATCGCCAGTGAACTTTTCCAAGGCCAGCTTTTACGCCAACATATTATAAATGGATTAGGTCTACAGCTTCTAACTTACAGATTCGAAAGATTCGGGGACGGCCTCGAGCGAGGACGGTGATCGCACACCTCACCCTCGCCTTACAGGTGACGGTGGCAGCGAATGGAGCGAATCGCGCCCCGACAGCGGTCCCGACAGTCCCGAGTGTTTATACGACAGAACCCACCCCGCCTTTTTGCCTCCTCGCTCTTCCGGTTCCCCGCCTCCCCTCTCGGTGTCGTCGGCCTCGAAACCGCGAATATGGTCTCTCGCGGACATGGCAAGCAAGGAGAACGACGCCCAATCCCAGTCCGCGTCTTCGGCGTTCTACTCAACGGCCGCAGGGCGACTAATGCCACCGCTTGGAGGTCGACTGCCTCCTCCAAGCCTAGCCTCAACGCCTTACGCGAGAACGCAAGAATTGTACAGAAGCTTGTACGGATCGGCCGCGGCGCAACACCTCGCATCGGCCGGCGCAAGCGGCGGCTCCCCCAATATATCGCTACTAGAATCGTATTCAAGATCACTAAGTGCGAGCTTAAGTGGTATACACAATAGCAGTGATTCCAGTGGTAGTGCGCCCTCAGTGATTTCCAAAGTAACACCTTCGTCATCGGGCTACTCGAGCTCGGGGCTTCCTCTTGGTTCGACCACGAGCACATCCAGAATATCACCTTCCTCTACCTCTTCGGTATCGTCAGGCTCCGAAACGCCCCTAAAGCCAATCGCTTTAAATAAAGCCTGACCGCCGATCGTGCTTTAGCCCTGATCTACCTCGGCAAATGTAAATAGGGATGCGGACAATAATGAATCTGGCTCTCGCCTCTTTGTAGTGTGCTGTACAGTCAATGTGATATACCTTTTTAGTTCCTTAAGTTAGTTGGCGCACATGGACGTTTAACCATAGAAAATTTTGTAAATAGAAATGAGACTGCGCACGCGCAGCAGTATAAATCTTGTATCTATGTATGTAATTAGCATAGAATTGTAAGAAAATCTTTGTTATTATTATATGTATTACTAAGAGCAGTATACAATACAAAATATATTACATGAACAAAGGGCATAACGCATTCAAGACACTTTAAAATTGTTTTTTTCTCTTCTATGAACATATCATGTGATTGATTAATACAATTGATTTGTATATTCTATTACCAAATTTTTCTTCTTTGCAATCCACTGGTGTGTTACAGTTGCAATAAAGAAATAGTTCATTACTTATGTTCTGCTTTTATTCACTACAACAACCATTTTTTCCCGAAACTTACGTGCGGTCTAGCTCATCATGTGAAGAATGCGTTCACAATAGGGATGTCCACTGCACAAATCTGCAGGAGGACCACCGGCCGAGGACAACTGTTTAAAACGCCGCAACAATATATCAGACGACAGTATCGAGTTGTTCCAAAGTACTTCATCGGGCACGCTGATTACGAGACAAGGTAAGTCTCATTTGTAGCTTAATTACTTTGCAAGTGGCAAATCAGTTACGACAATAATTTATTTAGGCTGAAGGTTAACCTGTATCCGACAGACAGAATTTTGTCGGCGTCTCATTTATGCTACGAAGCGGGGGCGACATTAGACTAAAGGCAAAAAACTAACTCCATAAATCGCGACATAAACTAACATAAGAAAGTTGGTATCTTCATTATGAAGATGAGTCATTGCCTTATAGGGAGTGCAGATCGCTAAATTGGCCTCGGTTGACAGCCGATGACAACATCATCAGCGGACTCCCCGTTCGAGACATTGTTTTTCACCGCATGAAACATTCAACGGATCCCATTGTGACGTACGCGTATGCACAGCTTATTAATGGGTAGTAATAAATGCAGTTAGTTGAACATATGCAGACAACTCGGGGGCGGTAGACAACATTCCATCTTGGACGCCTCATAGCACATATCTCACCCGGCTAATTGGAGAACGTTTTCACGGTTGACACGTCTGTCAAACAACGGCTGCGTCTTCAGTTTATTTTATACTTCCCTACTATTTTAGTTTGCTATAAAAAATGCCCTGATGAACGAGAAGTTTCTTTCAGTCGGTTTCAATTATTTTAGCCATTTACTCTTACACTAAAAATAAACACTTCGCGGCAATGATGCTCGAGCAATAAACATCTGGGGATTCGGGCGGTCTGTATCTCACAAACACACGTGACGACAATTAGTCGCATTTTCATACCGCGTTTATTTCGCGATGAGTGAAAAGCGGGCTTAGACAAAAAACTGCTTTCCCACTCTTTCGAGATCATTGACGCCCTACCAAATTTACGCGATTTGTTTTGTGCCGATATGGATAAACACAAACACTAAAAATGGAACGGACAGCAATGTCCCGAAGTTAGGGGTGAAAATTTTTCCGATAAGAATATTTGCAATAACATGCCATCCAGGGTGAGCGAGGTGTGCATTTAGGCATTTTCAAACTGATTCTTCATAATAATAATAATAATTACTTTTCCACAAAAGAATTACAAGCTCAAAATTGTGAATTAAGACCGCGCGTCACTCGAAATTTCGGGTATGCAACGCAGAATTGCTTCTCCAAATTCCGTTATTTGGAAAATTGCGCAAAAAATTTTACATAGTTCAGTCCATTTCGACTCTTTTTTTCATTTAAAAAGACCATTCAGGAAAATGGGTACGTTAACAAAATAAAAAAGTAAATTGATCATATGTTAAATAATACATGAATGTTTGATTTGCAAAATTACAGAAAATAGAACTTCCCACTACCCCTACAATTGGAATACTTTTTTTTATGAATAAATTTTTCGTTCTTTAATTGGTTCCTTAATAGCATTATTTTTTACACTTTGTTTGGAGATGAGTGGAGTTTATACGCGATTTTATTTAATACAGTCATTATAAATCAGATCTACGATGAAACTAAGAGAATCTCCGAAGTGTCTGAAGAATTATAAGTGAAGAAGTTCAAAAATCAAAAAATAGTAAATGTAAAAAACTCCACGAATACGAAGAATGTTACCTAAACAAAAAAATCAGTACAACTTGACATAACATCTTGTTACTCGACAAGTAATTATATACAAAATTTAACCTGCATCTTTGACTATAAAACCAAAGCCTGTATTAAGTTAATTATTGCGACTGGTTTTTAGGTCTACCCTTTCGTATTTTATACAATTTCTACCCCCAAGACATCGTCCTCCTAAATTGGTTGCGAAAAAAATGTTCATCTAACCGAATCGAAAGTTAATTTTGGATCCTCCCCATACAGTAAATACAAGTACAGTCCAGATCAGCATTTTTCCATGCCCATGGATCGCGCACCCACTTGTTATACAGTGATCTTACATTTTCTTGACTAAAAATAATTAACAATTCATTCTCGAGTACATAGTATAATCAAGTTTTTGTATATAAAATAAACCCCTAAAGAGCATCTAAAAAAGCGACAGAGCACCTCGGTGTGACCGCACGGGGTCATTAGAGTTGACCCATTTTCAATTGGCTTGTTACATGTGGTATATATGTTAACTGTGGAAAGTTTGAACCGAAAACAGGGCCGTAGCCAGAGGGGGCAAGAGCGGTCTTAGCCCACTCTTAAAATTTGCTTAAATTAACACAATGTAGTAGGTATGCGCATAAATAATCAAAATTTCTTAAAAAACTTCAACCATTTTAAGTGGTGATATTAATTAAGAAGATGTTTTAAGTTGAAAGATGGATTTATAGTTTTCTATTGCTAAATAACGCAAGCGCTTCTTCGAAAACGACATTTTTCAGTATTTTGGCCAGAATTTCGCTATTTGTAGAGCTACAAGAAGCTTTGAAAGGGAAAATTAATCAGCATGAAAGTGTGCGTAACTTTGCCCATTTAAGCGACTTTGCATCTCGTACGGTTTACGAGATCCCCATGGTGACAATGAAAAAAAAACACCCTGTACTATTATCCAGGCATAAGAGAGATCTACAAATAACCTCCAACTTTTTAAGTCGATACGATACACTCTTGAGCATCGAGCAATCGAGTTTGGTCTTTTTCCCAAAAAAATTGATGCATAAATAAGGATTTAGATCGATATTGGGCAATAAAGTGATGGATACTAAAATGAATTCTTGATAGTTGTCCATCTGGAACCATAAACTTTCTTATAGCGAAAACCAGAAGTCGATACGAGTTCCTCTTCCCAAGAAAATCGGTACATAAATAACGATTTTGACATTTTTTGTGAACAAAAATACACATGGACCACTTCTTGGTCATTGCGCAATTGAATTTCCCAAGAAGTAACGATAAATAACGATTTTGACATCCTTTAGGTAAAAATATTTTGGTCGCCAAAAATAGGCATGCATCATTTCTTGGTCATCGAGCAATCGAGTTTGATCTTTTTCCCAACAAAATTGGAGCATAAATAATAATGTTGACCAATTTAGAGCACGTGATGAATACCAAAGTAAATTTTTGATAGTCGATACGAGGTCTAGGGACTGAACTATAGTACGGAACGACACGCAGACGGACGGAAATGTGAAGTCATAAGCGCTCCACTTTGATGGATTGCGCTAAAAACGAATTCATTCTGCAGAACGCACTGCTCGCTCTGTAGATTTATTTTCCCGCTCTTAGTAACTAATCTGGCTACGGCGCTGACCGAACAGGTTCAAGCGTTTGGCAGAGATAGAGAAGCGTCACCCCACGGGGTCATTGGATTTGACCCATTTTCAATAGCCTTATTACTGGTGGCATATAGATCAACTGTGCAAAGTTTGAACTGAACAAGTTCAAGCGTTTGGCAGAGACAGAAAAGCTTGGCCCCAAGGGGTCATTGGATTTGACCCATTTTCAATAGCCTTATTACTTGTGACATATAGGTCAACTGCAAAGTTTGAACCAAATCCGTCCAAGCGTTTGACAGTTAACATGTTAACGGGCAGACGGACACCATCGACTCCCCTACAAAGCTTGCATCGCTTTGCTCTGACGCTTAATAAAGTGTGCAACGATCTTCCTAAATCAACCTGTTACTGTTACTGCGTAACACAAGGAATTTGATGTACCGCTTATGTGCTCGATTGTCCATCGTTAACTTTTTTAATTTTAGGCGCTTTGTAACATCGTAGCCGAAGGTTATTTATGAGGCCCAATTTACGTTAGACCCTCGTTATTACTACCTTTCCATATAAACCAGTTTTTTTAACAAAAGCGAGTCGCTAGCTTACGATCTCAAACACATAAACTAATAATTCATGACGTGGGGCATAAACAAAATTCGGCTATGAGACTAAAGAAATAAAGGCGAAAATTTGTATGTATGTATTAGTATGGCTAACTGTTTTATGTTGTTCTTAAGGAATGGATATTTAACTTGTAAGGAAAGCGCTCGGGGGACAGTTAAAAATCTTTAAATTAAAAAAAACTAACTTCATAAGAAATAGTTTAAAAAATCAAATTTTATTACAATTGTAATCATATTTAATTCGCGGTGAAGATTTAGGATCAAACCCGCACTCAAATGGGGATATGTAATTGTTTTATAAGAAACGGTAAGGAAGTTACTTACTTTGTAAAAAGGATTTGTTGAATGAAATTTATCGCTTCCAGTTAGAAAAGGTGCACGATTGTTGACACCAATTGAGTAGAAATGTGCGGTTTAGAAAATGTTGTTAATTATATTCAGTGGGAACCACTATTGGAATAATTCACTACAAGGTGTGTTCTTTTCAATTAACATTAATTAATCATTTACAGTTACAGTTGTGTTATGCGGCAACAGCCACGAGTGGGTTTTGAAACATTTTTTCTTTCCAAGTTTAAGTATTACGTATCGTAAACATATAGTCCATCTATTCTCCTGAACCCTACGTTTGAATTTTTTTAGCACTTCCACGTAGAATTTTGTCTCTTTTTTCGGGATCATAATCAAACACCCAAGATTCATCACCTGTGATGACATTCCCCAAAAATAGGGGGTCGTTGTCACACAAATCCACAAGTTCCTGGCACGTTTCAAATAGGCGTGATTTTTTGTCGTCCGTTACCACTTTCGGCACCATTCTCGCGCGCACTTCTCGCATTTGCAAATTGATATGTGTAGTTTGCGATTCACCCGTCAATTTTGATTTAAATCCCAATTTTTAGAAGGCTGACCGGAATAAATAATTGTTCAGTTGAAATGTTCCCAAATACATAGAAAGGTCATTAAGTGAAAGATCTGAAGAACTTACGGGTCAAGTAAATTTTCC